ACTGGCGGTTGGGGCGGGCCCCCCTCTCCTCCCCTACACACTTTTCTCACTTCCTCCACCCACCCACCCACCCGCGGCACCCCCCCACTCACCCGTGGATTATTCTGCGCGAAACCCTGCCGGGACGATTTGACGATTTTGGTACCTGTTTCGCGCAAAAGCCTGTAAGGGGACGCCCCTTGCGATCTGCGAGTTTGTACAAAGCCTTAAGGGGAACCTTAGGGGGACAGCCCTTGCGGTTTATGATTTGGGAAGTTATTTGTTATAACACAAACCTGTAGGGAGACACACTTTGCGATCCGTGATTTTGGGATCTGCGTTTCTTCAAAACCTAATGGGACAGACACCCCTTGCGATTTATGATATTGGGATCTATCCCGCGAAAACACCTGTAGCAGTCCTTTCTTGTGGAGAATGAGGTTAGACGACTTTGCTTTTTGGAAGCTGGGGGAGCTCTGGCTTCTCTTGCTAGGAGCGAAGTCTCTTCAATCTTCTTAAGATAAAGGCGACTTACCAAGAGGTAAAGGCTCTCTCTGCTAGAATGAAGCTCTCGTCTCTTACCAAGAATAAGTTGGAGAGAGCTCTCTTCCTGTTTCACAGGGTAAGGTAGGGGGCTTGGGCTTCTCATTTCCTTTTGAAAGCCGCGGGGAGGACCAGCCTTTCTCTTGTCAAGGTTTGAAGTTTTGAAAAGCCTCACCCTTTCTTCTTGAGGGTAAGCTCTCCTCCAAGTTTTTTCACGAGCAGGAGATGGCCAAGAGCTGTCGCTCCTGACGAAGAGAGAAAGAAGTTTTCTTACTATCGCCCGAGAGGCAGTCGGAGCTCTCTTCTTTCTCGTGATGCTCTGTTATATTGCCACGAACAGCCTGGGGGAACTCTCTTCTTGTTTTGGAGCATGAGGTCTTTTCTTTTGAAGGCTGGCGACTGAGAAGAGGTATAAGAAATCTCTATAGAGAATCTTCTCCTGCCAAGAATGATTTGAACGAGAGAGCTCTGTCCTCACTTCTTGAGAGCTATCTCTCTTCTATCCGTTGGAGAGGAAGTGGTGGCGACAAGGAGCTCCTCTGACCAAAACGCACACCGAGTTCTCTTATTTCTCGTGAAGTTCCAAGAGTTTCTTTTCTGACTCAGAGGATGGGGTAGAGGGCTGCTCATGTCTTGTTGAAGGCTGAGGGGAGGATCATGCTCTTCTTTTGAAGATTGAGAGAGCTTTGTCCTCACTTCTTGAGAGCTAGCTCTCTTTTATCCGAAGAGGGGACGGCCAGGAGCTCCTTTCTTATTTTCGCCTAAGTGGCAGCAGGAGTACTTTTATTTCTCGTGAATTTGAGGGTTCTCTGCTCCTTGGAGATGCTGTGGTAGAGGACTTGCCAGGGGATTTCTTCCTTACCCATATGGGGAAATGAAGCTCATGTCTTGTCGATGACTAGGTGCCTCGCGTTCGTCGTCTTGAAACTGGAGGAGCTTTGAGCCTTGTCTTCTTCGAGTAGAAGCGAGCTCCCCTCGATTCTCTTCAGAGGAGATGGAGCCTCACCAAGAGGTAGACGAGTTCTCTGCTCGAAATCAGCTGACTGACTTGGTGGGACTCTCTCCTTGTTTTCGTTGACGGCTGGGGGAATCTTCAATAATCAAGATCTCTTTCCCTTGCCAGAGAGAAAGGAGGTTTCTTCTGCTTGTGCGTATGCTTTTTTTCCAGATGTTGAAAAGATAAGGGAAATACTCAGGATCCAATCCCCTGATCAAGAGAGTTGGAGATCTCTTCTGCCCACCGATGGGTAAACGGAGACAATTGAATTCTCGTGAAGATGGAGGCGCCTGTCTGCTTTGCTGAGATGGATCTCTCTTGCAGGTAGAAGACATTTCCTTTTTGAAGCTAAGGAAGATCTGTCCTTTCTTGCTATCTCTTCAATCTTCTTAAGACTAAAAGGCAACCTACCAAGAGGTGAAAAAGCTTTCTGCTAGAAGGATGCTCTCTTCTGTCGCCACGAATAAACTGGGGACTCTATTCTGGTTTTGGAGCTTCCTTTTGAAGACTGAGGGACGACTAGATGTCTCTAGTTGAAAACTGGAGGGGCTCCACCCTTCCTTCTTGAGGGCATGCTCCCTTCCATCTTTTTTGTAAAGGTAATGGCAATGAGAATCAGGATCCCGTCCCATTATCAAGAAAGAAAGAGGGCCTGTTCTTGTTGACCGGGAGGTAAACGGAGCCGTCTTCTTTCTCCTGAAGTTGGAGAGGCCTGTTTGCTTTGTTGAGATGACGCTTTCTTCTGTCCCAGTAGATTGGAGGAAGCTCGTAGTCTCTTCTTGTCGAGGATGAGGTCACAGGATGAGGTAGAGGGCTGCTCATGTCGTGTTGAAGGCTGGGGGAGATTTTTTTGAAGATTGACAAACCTCTGTCCTCACTTATCTTTCTTCTATCTCTTGAGCAGGAAGAAGGGACTCTCTTCCATCTTTATCAAGGTAATGGCAATAATCAAGATCCCTTCCCCCTATCAAGAAAGAAAGGAGGCCTCTTCTTGCCGACCGAGAGGTAAACAAGCTCTTTTCTTTCTCGTGAAGTTGGAGGGGCCTGTTTGCATTGTTGAGATGGCGCTTTCTTCTGTCCCACTAGATTGGAGGAAGCTGTGCTTGTCGAGGATGAGGCAGAGGACTTCTCATTTTGGAACTGCTCACGTCGTGTCGAAGGTTGGGGGCAGGATCGGACTCTTTTTTGAAGATTGAAAGAGCTCTGTCATTACTTTTCGAGAGCTATCTCTCTTCTATGTCTTGAGGAGGAAGAGGGGACGACGAAGGGCTTTTCTCTCCAATTGTCGACCAAGACGCAGCCGGAATTCTTTTATTTCTCGTGAAGTTGGAAGGGTTCTCTGCTCCTTGGAGATGCTGCGGTAGAGGACTTGTCAAGGGATCTCTTCCTTACACATATAGGGAAGAGAATCTCATTTCTTGCCGATGACGCAGAAGTAGGCTTCCTTCACTTCTCTTCAGAGGAGATGGAGGCTTACCAAGAGGTAGAGGAGTTCTCTGCTCGAAATCAGCTGAATGACCTGGAGGGACTCTCTCCTTGTTTTCGTTGAGGGTTGGGAATCTCCACTCTTTCTTCTTGAGCGTATGCCCTTGTCCACCTTTTGAATAGGTAAAGGGAATTTTCAGCATCTCTGTCCCTTGTCAAGAGAGAAAAGAGGTTTCTTCTTCTTGCGCGTGGCCTTTTCCATCTTCTGAAGAGGTAAAGGAAAAAAGGATTCAGCACCTTGCGCTAGAAGGATGCTCTCTTCTGTTGCCACGAATAAACTGGGGACACTCTTCTTGTTTTGGAGCATGAGGTCTTTTCCTTTTGAAGACTGATGGACGACTAGATGTCTCTAGTTGAAAACTGGAGGGGCTCCACCCTTCCTTCTTGAGGGCATGCTCCCTTCCATCTTTTTCAAAAAGGTAATGGGATCACTAGATGTCTCTAGTTGAAAATTGCAGGGGCTCCACCCTTCCTTCTTGAGGGCATGCTCCCTTCCATCTTTTTTATAAAGGTAATGGCGATGAGAATCAGGATCCCGTCCCATTATCAAGAAAGAAAGAGGGCCTCTTCTTGCTGACCGGGAGGTAAACGGAGCCGTCTTCTTTCTCCTGAAGTTGGAGAGGCCTGTTTGCTTTGTTGAGATGGCGCTTTCTTCTGTCCCATTAGATTGGAGGAAGCTCCAGTCTCTTCTTGTCGAGGGTGAGGTCAGAGGATGCGGTAGAGGGCTGCTCAGGCTGCTCATGTCGTGTTGAAGGCTGGGGGGAGATTTTTTTGAAGATTGACAAAGCTCTGTCCTCACTTATCTTTCTTCTATCTCTTGAGCAGGAAGAAGGGACTCTCTTCCATCTTTATCAAGGTAATGGCAATAATCAAGATCCCTTCCCCCTATCAAGAAAGAAAGGAGGCCTCTTCTTGCCGACCGAGAGGTAAACAAGCCCTCTTCTTTCTCGTGAAGTTGGAGGGGCCTGTTTGCTTTGTTGAGATGGGCGCTTTCTTCTGTCCCATTAGATTGGAGGAAGCTTTGCTTGTCGAGGATGAGGCCGAGGACTTCTCATTTTGGAAGCTAATTCAGAGGATGAGGTAGAAGGCTGCTCACGTCGTGTCGAAGGCTGGGGGGAGGATCGGACTCTTTTTTTGAAGATTGAAAGAGCTCTGTCATTACTTTTCGAGAGCTATCTCTCATGTCTTGAGGAGGAAGAGGGGACGACAAAGAGCTTTTCTCTCCTATTGTCGACCAAGACGCAGCCGGAATTCTTTTATTTCTGGTGAAGTTGGAAGGGTTCTCTGCTCCTTGGAGATGCTGCGGTAGAGGACTTGTCAAGGGATCTCTTCCTTACACATATAGGGAAGAGAAACTCATTTCTTGCCGATGACGAAGAAGTGGGTTGACGAAGAAGTGGGCTCCCTTCACTTCTCCTCAGCAGAGATGGAGGCTTACCAAGAGGTAGAGGAGTCCTCTGCTCGAAATCAGCTGACTGACTTGGTGGGACTCCCCTCTCCTTGTTTTCGTTGACGGTTGGGGGAATCTCCACCCTTTCTTCTTGAGTGTATGCGTTTTTCCATCTTTTGAAAAGGTAAAGGGAATTTTCAGCATCTCTGTCCCTTGCCAAGAGAGAAAAGAGGTTTCGTCTTCTTGCGCGTTTCTTTTTCCATCTTTTGAAGAGGTAAAGGAACAAAAGGAGCCAATACCTTGCGCTAGAAGGATGCTCTCTTCTGTCGCCACGAATAAACTGGGGACTCTCTTCTGGTTTTGGAGCATGAGGTCTTTTCCTTTTGAAGACTGAGGGACGACTAGATGTCTCCAGTTGAAAATTGGAGGGGCTCCACCCTTCCTTCTTGAAGGCATGCTCCCTTCCATCTTTTTTTTATAAAGGTAATAGCAATAATAAGGCGCGTCGGCTGCAAGTGCATGTTTGCAAGTTGTTTTGTCAGGACCACCCTGACCACACCGCCGCACCTAAAGGGTTCGGCCGTATCACTTCGGCTCGTTGCCGCCATGTCGTCCCAGCCTGGTTCAGGGTCCACACCGCAGGGCTTCGCCACCAATACTCTGGCGACGCAACAGTTTCTGGAGCAGCGTGCTACATATCAAACCGCGGAGTACAAGGCGGTTCAGGGCGCTTTTTTCGGCCCGCCGCGGGTCAAGCGTACTGCACCCACTCCGGTGCAAAGCGGCTTGACCACACCGCAGGAAGACTCCGTGGCAGATGAGGTTATGAGGGAGGCTGAGGAGCACGCAGAGCCACCGGAAGAGCGTAATTTGCTTACGCCTTTTTCTCTGCAGGACCAGGCCGCCTTGGAAGTTAGCTCAGGAAGCTTGGGAGCCAACATCAACGACCAAAACGCCGTCCAGGCCTGGGGCCAAAGGCAGCCAACCAACACTGCCGAGATCTTCAGCATGGTTCGAGCATACCATGAAAAAGTGATCCGGCCAGAGTACTACTCTTTGGTTTGCCAGCTGGAAGCGGGCCTGAAAGCCGTTGATGATCGCTGCTTTCAGGTCAAAAAGGAGGTCGCATGGATGGCTTCGGAGAACAGGCTTTTGCAGAAACATGCCTGTGGTATCCAGCTCTTGACCACAGGCTGGCCGAATGCTCTGAAGCCTGCAGAAAGAGTGTACATGATTTCGTGGATGGTTTCGCAAGTTCCTGCCTTGGTGAACTTTTTGAAGCTGAGGGGCTATGTCTCCGACCACAACGCCTCGGAGCTGGAAAGGCACATGAACGTTTTCGCCCAAGAGCCGACCACAGTGCCTCAGTCGGAGGGGTTCTATTCCAGCATGACCCTTCTCAGCTTTAAAAGTTGGGATACGCGGTCTGCTTTTTTGAACCACTACGGTGGAAGCTCCGGGGTGCCAGTCTATAAGGACGAGAGCACCCCCATTCACAACAAGCATCTGAAGGTGGCACCTTGCAGTCCGCAGTGGCAGCGCAAGCTAGAGGCGCCGTTGCGTGTAATTTTAAATTGTGTGAACAAGCACCCGGAACACAACGCCTCCTCCCGTCTCACCATTTTGTGGAAGACCCTCACGCTTCTGGCTCCTCAGCAAGACGCTGAATTTCACGAGGACCAGACCGCCTGGGCAAGGCTTCACTATGGCCAGGAGGCAGGCGAGTTTGTTTGCAGGCTTGAGGTTGTTCCGGCACTTCTCGCAATTTTGAATGGCCCACCTTCGGAAGCCGATTCCAAGACCACATCGCTTTGGGAAGAGCAGTGGTACCAAACGATGTGGGGGAATCATGCTGAGCTTGATCGAATGGATGCCGAAGCCTTTTGGAGTGCCAAAAAGGATGCAGTCCTTTCTGGCAAGGGCCTTCAGAAAGGAAAGGGCAAAAGGCACTGGTCTTCGGCTGCTGTGCATACCAGTGCTTACTCTCCTTATCCATTCGATCTCCATTTTCAAGTTGTGGAAGCGGTCTATTTTTCATGGGATGAGTTCTGTGATAAGTACAGAAAGGAAGACCGCAAGGTGGGTGACTACGAAGTTGCCACTGTACAGGGCCGCCCACCAGTGGGGATAGGAGCTGAGCTCCGGTCCGACCACACCGCCACGGACTTAGCAAGTTTCGGCGCCACGCCAGCGGCTTCCACAGCCACACCGGCGCACGCTCCAGCCCCGACCACGCCGCCGACAAAGGGTGGGAAGGGCAAGGGATCCGGAAGTTTTGGTTCCCGAATTTTCGTGGCCCCGCTCGGCCCACAACGCCTTTGCCTGCAGGCTTTTGGGTTGGGCTTTCCCGACAAGGAGCTTGCAGCACCTTTTGAAATTTTTGAGTGCTCGCCCTTGTCCTGCAATCGGGCTTCGTGGTACTTTGGGAAAATCCCGGAGGACCACACCGCCCCTTTCTTCGAATTTGCATGTTTCTCAGGTCTCGATTACAACGCCCTAGGCTCACCCGATAGCCCGAATCAGCTTACTTCCAAAAAGCGAAATAAGCTTATTCACATCATCAACGGTAACACTGTCCTTTCACTAGCAGCTCTTATCCCGAGCAAAAGAACCACAATCTCGATTGCACAGCATTTGGAACAGAGACCTCAGGAATCCCAGTCGCAAGCGCAAGGTTACAGTAGAAGTTTCTTGCTGCAGTGCCGACAGCCAAAAGAAGAAGGGTCGTGTCCGTTTGTGCCGATCACAATGCAAGCTTTCACCCCCAACAAGCCCAAGCCCTCCCGAACAGGTAGGCGAATTAAAATCAGAACGCGCGATGGAGTTGTTGTGATTTCTAAGAAACCACGACCACAACGCATAATTTCAGGAATTCAGCTCCCAATTAATTCAACCACACGCCGAAAACCGCCTCCACGAGGCGCGCCGGGACCTCCCCCAGGGAGGGACGAAGAGTTTTACCCGAACAAGACGCGGGCACAAACCTCCGAGCGGGGTCCGGGACGCGCGGTGCGCCGCAGGGCGTATCGCCGCTGGATGCGAGGAGGTACAAAGGTACAGGTGAAGGAGCCGGGCCCTCCCCACCTTGCCCCGTCTCAGCCCCAACACGCCGCCCTTACCAGGGCCCAATGGTTCAAGCAAAACATTCACTGGCAGGACCAGCTGAAAAGAAACAAAAAGAAAAAGCCGGTCAAGCATCCGACCACACCGCCTCTTCCGTACGAAAGTAAGATAAAGGTAGGTTCGATCAATGTTCAGGGTTTTGCGGACACCCTAAAGCTTAAGAACGCCATTCTTATGATGCAGGAGCATAAGCTTGATGTTCTTATGCTATCAGAAACTAAAACCACGTCTTACTACTCGTATCAGTCAGAAAAGCATTTGGTGATACTTTCAGGCAACACAAAGGACAGGTATGCAGGAGTGGGTGCAATCATTGCGCCACATCTTCGACCACACCTCTTAGATGTGTTGCAGGTTTCTACTCGATTGCTTCATTTGACTTTTCGGAAAAAGGGCGGTAACATTCACATTGTAGGAGCGTATGCCCCACACTCAGGATTGGAATATGAAGAGGTGCGGGTCCCATTTTGGGATAGCCTCGAGGAACACATTGCCAAAATCCCCCAACCCGAACCGGTTTATCTAGTAGGTGATTTCAATGTTAGGTTTCAGGCGCAACACGCTAATGATGAAGGCGTCACATGTCCATTCACGTACGGTAAAGGTTCTAGATTCATTGACCACAACGCGCAGTCCAACAGATCGCTTTGTGTTCGAACCATGCAACTTCTAGGTATGGTTGAGGCGGCCTCTTGGATCACGCCTAATCCTATACATCACATCACCTACAAAGATAGAGCAGCACCACCACCGGATTGGTCACTGTTTGTTTTGGACCCTCTGCCCATGCAACAGATTTACACCATGCTGCACCGTAAACTAGACCCTGACAAGGATCTTGCTCTTTCCACGGCAGCTACGGCACGATCTTTCTTAGACCTCCCGGACCTACTTCCCCCACCCAAGACCACACCGCAGATTGACCCGCTTCGTTTTCAGAGGTTGGATCATCTGTTCGTTCGGAAGCAGTGGCTTAACTCTGTACATCAATGCAGATCCAAGCTCTACACTGGTTTTCCCACGGATCACTACCTGGTGGTTTCGGAGATAAAGGTTCGCCTAGCAGCCAAACCACAACGCCCCCCTCGCACCCCAAAGCTTGAGCTGCAAGACCCCACCGAACAAGAAAAACAGGAGTTTAACGCCATCTTCGGAGAACTTATACAGGAAAACCCCCCAGAACGAAACCTTCCCCCTCCGGACCACACCGCCTCAATACACTACTTTACGGATGGATCGGGTTCTGCGGGCAGATGTTCTAAACACACCTCAGCTGGATGGGGTTGGTGTAGGAGAACTCCTGAAGGCTGGGAAGATGCTTATGGTCCAGTAATCACAGATCCCGACCACAACGCGTATAGGGGAGCAGGAGTAGGTTCAAATAACACTGGAGAGGTATCAGCTATCGTGGAAGCTTTGCTCCATGCCCACCAACACTCGCACCACAACGTTCACATTCATACCGATAGCCAATGGTCCAAGAACGTCATCACAGGAAAGTGGCGGGCGCAGCGCGCCAAAACGCTTGTGAACATGGCGAAACACCTTTGCAAAATTGCGCCCATGCGCGTCACCTTCCACTGGATCAGAGCGCACAAAGGCAACGAAGGCAACGAGAGAGCGGATAAGCTCTCTAATCAGGGACGCAAAGCCAAGGACCGCCAAGGAACCACAGCGCAGCAACCGGAAGCCACAACCACCACAACGCCAATCAGGGTGGACGCCTTCACTGAGGTCCTTCAAGAAGCGGCCAGGCAAACCTTTTCAAACGAAACTCGCAGACGACGCACGCCGTGGATCACGGAAACTACCCTCAACCTTTTGCAGGACGCACGCATGGCGGAAGCGCAGGGAGACCACAACGCAAAGCACAAGCGAAACGTGGCCAAGCGCTCCGCAAGGAAAGACAAAGTTAAGTGGGTTCACGACCAATTGCTGGAGGACCCCAGCGCAGAACACAGAGGATTATGGAGTACAGTCCGTCGCCAGAAGGCAGGCTTTAGAGGCAAAAAATCTCACCTTGTGGTGGACAATAAGCCAGTTCCATGGAGCAGGACCCACCAAGCTTTTCGAGACCATTTACAGAATACGCAATGGGCGGCACACGAGGACGCCACCGAAAGATCACAGGAATTAAACTCAAAACGCGCAATACACCCCCCATCACCAGATGAATCTCCCTTCTCACTAGAGGACCTCCAATCAGCGATAAACAAGCTCAGGAAGCGCAAGGCGCCGGGACCAGACCACACCGCCAACGAACTCTTTCTTCTTTTAAACGATGACAATCAAAAGCTACTTCTAGATTTTTACAATAAGATCTGGGAGGTAGAGGAAGTTCCAGAAGAATGGAAAGAGGCCATAGTGGTTTCAATCTACAAAGGCAAAGGCAAGGACACTGACCCTGCCAATTATCGACCCATTTCACTTCTCAACACAATCTATAAAATCTTTGCCGCAATGTTGCAAACCAGACTGGCCACAACACACGAAAAGAACTTGCGCAGTACACAGTATGGTTTCAGATCACACCGCGGGACACAACAACCACTTTTTGTTTTAAGAAGATCTATGGAATGGGCGGAAATGACCAACAACCCATTATATTACCTCTTTCTGGATTGGAAACAAGCATTCGACTCACTTGACCACAACGCTATGTTGATCGCTTTGCAGCGCTTCGGGCTGTCTAACAAATCCCTAGCAGTCATTTCCTCCATTTATAAGGACCCTACCTTTATCACCAAAGGAATTGATGACCACAACGCCAAAGGTAAAGTAGGAGCGGGAATTCGTCAGGGATGTCCCCTCAGCCCATATCTGTTCATTATGGTGCTAACCGTCATTTTGGAAGATGTTGATTGGGATCTGGCAAGTAGAGGAATAGCTAGGAACACTTAGTCAGCCACCCGACCCACTTCAGATCTAGAGTATGCGGACGATACGCTTCTTATCGCCAGGACCACAACGCAACTCTCAGAAATTTTGCACTCGCTGGAAAGATGTTCTAGGCTCCATGGGATGCATTTGAATAAAGAAAAAACAGAACTTCTCGTGGATCCTCGCAGACCACAACCCAAACTTACTTTCGAAAACGGAGAAACAGTTCCGACCACAACGCAAATCAAGTACCTAGGGTCAATGATAGCCTGGGAAAAGCCCTTTGAAGCAGCGTTCAGACATAGAGCCGCGGTAGCAGAAACCAGCTATAAGAAACTCCGGCTTGTTTGGAATAGCTCTTTGCCTCGTAAGACCAAACTCCGCATATTCCAGTCAGTCTTTATCCCCACCTTAACCTACGGCCTCGACACCCTCACCCTCACAGACAAGCAAATAGACAGGGTAGATGCCTACTACTTCCGATTCCTGAGACGAGTGGTTAATATCAAGGCCTCATATTACTCCAGAATATCCAACCAAACAGTTTGGAGAACAGCCAACAACCCGAGAAAACCCTCCAGCTTCCTCCACAACGCCCAGCTAAAGCTCCTGCAGACACTATACTCTAGTGACATTTCCGATCCATTTCACAATGTAGTGTTTACCGCTGCTTATAAGGACAGTTAATAGTCGTTACCGGCAGACGTAGAGGGATGAAAATGCCTTACTGGATAGAGATCACAACGCAAAGGCATTTTAAGAACCATTGGACCCAAAACCCTGGTAAAGGAATTCTAGGACCACACCTGGTATATGCCTCCATTAATCGAGACCTGAAGAGTTCCTTGGAGCGAGCGCCGAAGCGCGCTGCGGAAAAGCGCGCAGGGCACTAGCAAAAAATAGCAATAATATTCAGGATTCCGTCCCATTATCAAGAAAGAAAGAGGCCCTTTCCTTGCTGGCCGGGAGGTAAACGGAGCCGTCTTCTTTCTCCTGAAGTTGGAGGGGCCTGTTTGCTTTGTTGAGATGGCGCTTTCTTCTGTCCCATTAGAGTGGAGGAAGCTCTCAGTCTCTTTTTGTCGAGGGTGAGGTCAAAGGATGAGGTAGAGGGCTGCTCATGTCGTGTTGAAGGCTGGGGGGAAACTTTTTGAAGATTGACAAAGCTCTGTCCTCACTTATCTTTCTTCTATCTCTTGAGCAGGAAGAAGGGACTCTCTTCCATCTTTAACAAGGTAATGGCAATAATGGCAATAATCAAGATCCCTTCCCCCTATCAAGAAAGAAAGGAGGCCTCTTCTTGCCGACCGAGAGGTAAACAAGCCCTCTTCTTTCTCGTGAAGTTGGAGGCGTCTGTTTGCTTTGTTGAGATGGCGCTTTCTTCTGTCCCATTAGATTGGAGGAAGCTTTCAGTCTCTTCTTGTCGAGGATGAGGCAGAGGACTTTTCAGTTTGGAAGCTAATTCAGAGGATGAGCTTGAAGGCTGCTCATGTCATGTCG